GGTAAATAGATAATTGATCACGTGTCTGTCCTTACACTTAAGATCCATCTGGAAACAGTCTGTGATTCATCATCCATTTTTAAACTACTTTCAACCAAATTTTTAGCCAAGTATGTATTTTAAGGATAAAAACTTGAATGGCTTTTAGACAATAAGCGTAATGGTTTTAGTACTTTATATTTAAATGTACATTATATTTTATAAATTATTTGTTATTGCACAGAAGATAATTAATTTTTCGCGAAATTTTTTATTAAATATTAATAAAAAAAGTAATAATTAAGTAACATATATTAAAATAATGTGATAATTTAAAAATAATGTTAGGTAATGTGTTAAAATATATCAGAATTTTCATATAACATTAATATAAAAAAAATATATATATATATTATATATATTTACTCCTGTAGCTTCTTTCTTTTGGTTTCAATATCTTTGATTTCATTATTTAGTAAACAGAGATTAAATTCAAGATTCTTCTTCTCATAGTCATCAGTGGAATTAAATTTAATTGTATCCGTTTCCTTTAAATATGTCTTAAACTCATTTTCGATTTTGAGGTACATTTTGTGCTGTAACAAGTGAAAAAAATTTAATATTAAAATTTATCTGTAAATTATATATATAGTATATTTACAGTCTTTGCACGATGTGAAATATATTATAAAAAAATAAATAAACAAGTACCATATCCTCCAATTTAACTTTCAGAGACTTTATTTCTGTTCGTAGATATTTCTCATCACTGAGACTATACTTGTTTTCACGTTGCGAATAAAGCTCGTATTCCTGGGTCAATAATTCAGTGGCAAGCTTGGATTTCGATTTTGCAAGTTCATTTAACTCTTTCATAAACTTTAATACTTCCTTACATCGTGGATCGTACGTCTTCAAGGCAGTCGGTTTACTGCTACGATCAATCATAGGTTTCGCGCTCACTTCGTTTTGTGGCATTTTATTTGATAATATTTTAGAATGAGCTAATACTGGACTTTCTGGACTTTCCAATCGTTGCCCATTTACACTGTCACTTCGAGACGGCCGTTTATCGTTGATTGATATCGTTATATGATTAACAAAATTCTTGGATTTGGTTGAAGAAATGGTATCATTGCTATTCGATCTGGCATGCCTGGAGATTGCTGATTTGTTGTCACCATGATCTATCTCCATATCGACGTTAGAGTCACTCATATTATTCAACTCGCTCTTCGTTTCTTGCTCGTCTTTCCCTTTTTTCAAGATCTCCTCTTCTGAATCAGAACATGCCCAAGAAGGATATTCAAATGTGTCGAGAATCTTCTCGTCGAGTGTGACGGTCTTGAACTCAGGTACTTCAATGCTAGGATTTGTTGTAAATGCTGGATATCGCTCCAACCATTCCTGGTATCCTCCGTTCAGAATCTTAATCTTTTTATGCTTTATACCGGGATCCCATTTCTCGAAAATATCTTTCAATAGATTTATATGAATATATGGTGTCAAAGTTTCTTGTGTAGTATTCCAATCTAGCAAAACTAGAATATCTGTGTGTTGTGCCGATCGATTAACAAATAAGTCATAAGAATGTTTGTCATTTGCGAAATATTTTTCAAAATGAGTGCCCAGCAACCTAAAAGCAAAAATCCATTATGAAAAATTAATATTTGATTGAAAAGTCTTTTCAATCACACAGTACATATATATGTAAAAGGACCTTCATTTTACAATATTTTCGTTAAAATTGAACGAAATTTAAATAAAAACAAAGAGGTTTTAAAACTTGAAATATCTACTTTCAAAATGTTACTATATTTTTTAAGTTTCTGTGAGTTTGGCAATTTTTACATATAAAAAAACTACGAGCTGAAATTGATGAAAACATTTTTTTTATAAGTTTTTTTTTATGAATCTTTCACGTGCCCAATTTGCAAAATTTTTTGACTCTCTAACGTGAAAGCTTGAAACTCTTTCCCCACAAAATCATTTTTAAAAAATATTCCTATGATTTCTTGTTTCTGAATTATTCACAAGTTAAATAAAGGAAAGTATCCTGATTTTGATTGCTCATAATTCCTTTAAAAATCATCATACCACAATTAAAAAAACAGATTTTAAAGCTGAAACTTTGTTTTAAGTGATATAATTGCAACGAAAATTTCGCAATAAATAGTAGGTTGGAAAGAGTCCTTCTACATATATGTAAAAAGACATTTTCTCTAACCCAATATAAATAAAGCTACAGTAATTTCCAAATTTAAAAAAATATACAATCTAATATATATATAGTGATAATAAACATATAAGTAAAATAAATATATAATAAATATATTCACATTGCTAACCCACATGTATTATATTATTATCAGTTAGAAAGTAGATGCTCAAGTATAAGCACGTTACACAAAAAAAGTTGACCAAATTAATGTAATTTGCGATAAAACCCACTTTTTGTTTTTATTGAATTGATTGATCCAATGTTCAAGATATCTTTATATTATTGAGAGATTACAACATTAAAAATATATAAATCTGACGTGACTCAAACAATACATTCAAAAAAGGAATATTAAATTTGCATTAGCTGAGGATGACTCCAAAGCGATATTAACATATTAAATTTATTATTTACTTTATCAATGACATATCTATACTCTCATTTGTCCTTAATTACTGGAGTGTACATATTATATACATATTTATATAATAAATATATTATAAATATGTATATAATAAATATATATAAATAATAAAATTATTATATATAATATATAATATAGATTACATAAAAATACTTCACTTACCCTCTTTTAATTTCAGACTGTGGAATGTTAATACATCTATCGGATGATATCCTGGAATTTTCATAATGAGCCGTTTGCCTAGTATCAATAATCAAATATCTGGCACGTATTTTTTGTATTAGGTTATACAATTTATCACATGATATAAAGTTATCACTATCACTACTTAGACTTATATCTTCAGCTGGTATTTCCGGTAACTTCAAACCAATATCGCTATTCGGCGCCTTGGACTCATCCATTTCTACCTCCATTAATTCCACCTTATCATTACACTTCTTCGAATTAAGCTTATAACGTACCTCTAACTTTTGCTTTAAGTCTGCAAGTATGTTTTTCGCTTCATTTATCTAGAATATAAATATTCATATATTCTACTGTCTATACAGTAAGATGTCAGGCTGGTTATTTTAGAAACACTATTTCTCACCTGTTCAACAGTCATGCTCGCAGCATAGGCTGACTTGCCATCCTTGTTATGAGTTCTTTTCAACCACTCGACCGAATCCAGCCACCTTTTCAAGAAGATGTATGCCTTCTCGTCGTCCCCTTGCTTCTTTGCCAAATCAGAATTCTGTCGCATAGCGGGGAGCCTCTGATACACATTGCGTGGCTCCTTACCTGTGTAATTGATCTTGGCCTTTTGCACGAGGTCATTGATGGAAGTATACATCAAATTTGTCGCATTGGACATGTTGACAATCGTTGCGGTTCTTCACTTCGATTCTCAACGTAAGATCAGGAGACCGTCCAGCATTCGGTGCAATGTACGCGACGTAGCTCGGCTGTCAGTCAAAGAATGAATGTTAATCATCTAATTTACTTTGGACTGCGACATAACAACCCGTAGCGATTCGGACAGAGGTGTAATATCGCTCAGCGATGCTCGGCGACGTCGCAGGGTCGCGCGAGATGCTATCGATCACCACTGCTATGTCGCCGTCACGTCATCAGGCGAAGCCTTTCGTAATGTCTAACAAATATACGAACTCCAGTCTTGTCCAGTCCTCCCTGTGCAAATTCGCACTCCGAATTGCTTTAAAAATACGAACAACTCCGAATTGAAAAATCTTTCAACGGCGCTACCCTACAATTCGCCATGGTGGAAGAAGACAGATGAGACAATACACATAACGGCAATACGGAGCAATCAGCTAGCCAAATTTAGGTACTACCGGTACTACTTAAATAGTAGCGCGATATTCAAATACAACACTGATCATTGTATGATAAAAAAAGAAATGAAATAAATTTGTAAATCTATAATACAAAATTACTGTTATAAAATTTTATAAATTAATAAAATGTATGTTAAATGTAAATGTAAATTATTAAAAATATGTAATAAAAAATAAAATAACGATAAAATAGTGACATTAATAAGTTAATAAGTACTTTGTCTCAAAATATTAATGTTTAATAAATGTATTGATTTAGATTTATAGCATATTCGATTTAGGGCTATGGCAAAGAACGAGATGTAAACTGTCGTAATCGTAATGTACGATAAGAAATAATGATTTGATAAAAATATATGTTAGGAATATCTTTTGTTAACAAAATATTGTAGATACTTAGAAAAATGTTAGTTAATCTAAAATAATAATTCTACGGGAGGCGGAAATAAATAAATCGCATTATATATTTATTTATAATATATAATATATAAATAATATATAAATCGTATTTACATATTAATTTTTTAAATTTTATTTCAGTGCATATATTTCCTCTACGGCACAAAATATTGCAGCAATATTATAGCAATATTATTTTGAAAGATTGCAATATTCATAAAACATTGCTGCAATATCTCACTGCGCAGGCTCGAACAGAAAGAGAAAAATACACGGCTTCTGTTTTCTGTCCTTTTTTATCTGATCTTCATGTAAAAGACATGTTCAGATTACGGTCCATTTGATTCTACGAATGCCTCGAAGCATTTTTTGATTAGACAATTAATATAATTCTTTCTTCTGATTGGTCAGTCAAAAGCTTCGAAGCATGTAGCGCCAAGTAGACCTCTCTCTGACCGCACCCTCAATCTATCCTTATTATGTTATCTATGGCTGTCACTCTCAGATCTGTTTCTGTTCCTGCACTGCACTAGAATTCTCTTTCTCGCTTTCAACAAATGTATGTACGTGCCTGTCTTACTTTAAGTTCCAGTGTTCACTTTAGTATGTACATAGCTTACGGGTGTTGGAAGGTGTGTTTCTTAAGTTGGAGTATTGTACAAATTATGCCATGTAATGATTCATGGTGATAAAAGCCAACTTTTCTGGAACGATACAAATATTGATCTCTTAAAATAATTGGATAGTCCTTTTTATATTCTAGAGTGCATTTTTCCTGACATTTCACGTGTGTGCGTTTTTTCACTGGTGACATCGTCCCGAGTAATAACTGACACGATGGACGTATTAAACAAACTTCGTAATACAGTCAGCAACACTATCACCAATACCGTCCAGAATACGGCATATGGTTTATCGCAATTGTCCAGCGTTCTTCCTGGCAATCCAGTCACCAGAGAGTTTGAAGCAACCGCTCATGTGGCAAGTGCTGGGCCAGGATTGCTGTGGAAAATCTACAGTGGTTATAAGAAGTCTACCAAGCAAGAAGCAGCAATTTTTGTTTTTGAAAAGCGTATGCTGGAGAGATGGTCCTCCAGAGCAGATCGAGAGCTTGTGTTGGAGACTCTGAAACGGGGCGTTATGCAATTGACAAAGTTGAGGCATCCACAGGTTCTGACTGTGCAGCATCCATTGGAGGAATCGAGAGACAGTTTGGCATTTGCAACTGAACCAGTGTTTGCTAGTCTGGCTAATGTATTAGGTAGATTTTATAGAGATGCCATAGGGATTAAAAGCGTTTTTTAGTAAGGGACACAAGTGTATAATAAGGTCTGTGTTGTTTGTATTTTTTGCATTCAGTATCTTTGTTTTCTCTTTTTTCAACATATAAATATATATTTATCTCATTTTAAGCTCAAAAATTGATTTAAATTTAAAGTAACTCAAACAGACTTATAATATAAAGTCTAATTTACAACTTAGTTTTTGCTTTCTTCTTTTTACCATTTTTTATTTCTCGTCTTATCCTTCTTTGTTTTCTGTTATCTAAGATAAAAGTTGACAAACTTTGGAAAGACAAGAAATGTATTATAAGACATATGATTGTTAATAACATAGTCAATAAAGGAAAAAAGTAAAGAGAAAAAGCTAGAAATGGTAAAGAACATATTGTTGATTAGTTTTAGTAGTTAATTATTTCATCTTTGTTTGGCAAACAATAAGGACATAATTATTCACTGTATTGTTTGTTTCTTGCTAAAAAAAAAGCACTTTAAATTATAATTTTCAATGTTTTATTTAAAGTTACTAATATCTATTAATGATTTTTATATGTGAAATGCATTATAGGTAATTATGAGAATATACCTCAACCAACTCCAGCAAACTTGAAAAATTACAAATTACTTGACATAGAGATACGCTATGGATTGTTACAATTGGGAGAAGGTTTAGCGTTTTTACATGGTGATGTAAAATTACTGCATAGAAATTTATGTCCAGAATCAATTGTTATCAATATTCATGGAGCTTGGAAGATCTTTGGTTTTGACTTCTGTGCCTTAAATCAGAATCCAGATAGTAAACAGGTATCAAATTTCATTAAATTATAACAATATTTGTTGTTTATATTTTAATATAACAAACTGAGAAGAATAATATATAGTTATACATAGCAATTATTAAATCATTTATTTTAACAATTACATATTTGGGTTTGTGATTGTATTTTACATTTTCATGAATCACATTTTTATTTTGCAGCCATCATGGTCTTATCTCGAATATGATTCTACACTCCCTACGGTTGTACAACCTCAGTTAAATTACCAGGCGCCCGAGTGCATTTTAGCAAGTAGTAACGGACCACCTAGTGATATTTTTGCCTTGGGTATGCTGATATATACGATACATTCCTCGGAACATCAACCGCTACAGGAATTTCACAATGATTTTGGAAAATGCCGACGTTTCTTGGAAAATTTCAAGGGCTGTAATGTCTCAACAAAGCTTCTTCCAATTTCTGATACATTGAGAGATACTGTAAAACTCATGCTGAGTTATAGTCCTGAATTACGATTAGATGCTCATCAATTTATCAAGGTAACTTACTTTTTCTAAATTATTTTCTGTGAAATGCATATTAAATTTGTAAAACTTGTTTGAAATAATTAAGAGTATATAAAAAAATATTCTTAAAATAATGATATCTATTTATATTCCATTGTTATAAATTCTTACAGATTGAATATTTTACGGATATTGGCGTGAAGACGTTAAATTACTTGGACAAATTATTCCAATGGGATAATCTCCAGAAATCACAATTTTACAAAGGTCTTCCACAGCTATTAAAACAGTTGCCACATAGAGTTGTGCTACATAGAGTATTACCTGCTCTCTACAAGGAGTTAGTTAATCCACCTATGATACCTTTCGTATTGCCGAGTATACTGCAAGTAATGGAAGTTTCGGAGATAGAAGAATTCCGAGAACATATTTTACCTAATCTAAAACCTGTTCTTGCTTTAGAAGATCCACCACAAGTAAGCTTTTTTCCCACAACGTTAATAAAATAATGAAATAGTATAATAAAATAAAAATAAAATGATGATAAAACTCTTATACATTTTTTTTAGATTAGTTTGGTTCTCATGCAGCAAGTAAATTTGTTGTTAAAACTGTGCCCTACGGATGTAATTAAGACCGACATAGTGCCTATGCTATTGCGTGCATTGGAATCCGAATGGGAACAACTCCAAGAACTCTGTTTATCGGCATTACCGAATATCGTAACGATGATCGAGGGACCAGTTATAAAAAATGCCATACTTCCACGAATGAAAAAGATATGTTTATCGCCAGGAAAGAAATCTACTAGTCTTGGAGTACGCGTTAATTGTTTGTTGTGTCTCGCGAAAATGTTGCCAAGCTTTGATCGTTGGCTGGTATTCGATCAGATATTACCATTTCTCCAAGAAGTTCCTCATTCTGGCGAACCAGCAATTTTAATGGCTATTATAGGTAATATATAATATATTTTATTAATCCAAAACTTTAAGAAAAGACATTCTTAATATAATTTTATATTTATTGTAATCTGTCTAATTTTATTCTGAAAAGATTGAAACAAATATTTTTCTTTATGATTAGGTATTTACAGGATGCTACTTACTCATAGTAAGTTAGGTATGGGCAAAGAAATATTGGCAACGAAAGTACTACCATTTTTATTACCCCTCTGCATAGAACAAAATCTTAGCATGTCGCAATATGAGACACTTTCCACGCTTGTTGTCGATATGATTAATCGAGTAACCAACGAGCATCGAGAGGCATTACGTCAATTGGATGCTGTGCGTCGTGAGACACAACAACTTGATCAGGCGCTTTCTCAAGTGACTTCATCTACCTTTATGCAAAACAACAGTTTAAGCGACATTAATTTAACGCCCCAAATGCTATCTCCAAACGCTAATTCTAATTCTAAGACTGTAAATATTGAGAATGGATTAACCATCGAAGACAAGTTCAGGTATATATCTCGACAGAGTATTTAAAAGACTTAATATATTTTCTTTAAATATAACGCATAATTATTATTTGTATCCTAAAACGTTAATGATTTTTTTTCTAGGTTGATTCAACAACAAGAAACGCATCAAAGAATGCAATCTCAACCTATGCTGACTCCTAAAGCTGTGTCACAACCTGTAAAATCGCAGCCGAAGGATTTAACTGCAACTTTGCTAAAAAATAATCTAGATGAGTTAAATCTGTCAATGTCAAGATCAAGTATGTCACAGCCGGCTACTAAAAATACTGCACATAAATATAACGACATTAGTTTCGCGCAATCGCAATTTTTAACATCTCCGACACTTAATTCGCAATCAATGTTGAATAGACCAATGAATTGGAATTCCAATGGAATGAGTACACCCATGAATTGGAACTCGCCACAATCCACTTTGATGTGGAACTCTATCACTCCCCAGAATAATGTAAATTTTTTGACACAACCAGAAGTTAAGTCAAACTTAAACTTTCCTGGAACTTTGCAGCCTCTTATGTCACCCACTAATATACAAACCAATGTAAGCAAACCTAATTCGTCCACGCAAGATATTATGGATTTGCTTAATTAATAAGTTGAAATGTTTTTGAAGTTATTACTGGGATAACAGATGGTACATTAGACAGCGATATGAAAACGCTACAGTGATTGTAATATAATACATAGGTTTTGTCTAATGTGAGTGATTGATTTCGGATAATATTATCAAAGATGAAAGTCACCGTTATATAATAAAAAAATTGTAAAAAGAGTAGACCATCTTTTATATAAGCACACACAGTCAAAGATTGCAATATTAGACCAATATTAAATAATAATTGTTTTACATATTTTATATTGAGACTGTTTCGTCTAGAATAATCTAATTGTAGATTTCTTAAGAAATCTTGGAACAAAAAAATAATTACCGAAGAAGCATGTTTTAGCATAAAACTAAAAACTAATATGTTTACATAATGTTTTAGAAAAATGAAACGCTTATCTTCGCAATATTTTTTGTCTCCAGTGTTTAAAAGGTTGGACTTATCAGTCTTATATATAAAAAACTTTCTTGTATGTATATGTACTCTACATCTCATCTACACATTTATTATTTTAATAATGTTGTACGATAACTAGAAAAAAGTTTATACGTGTTGTAGCTCTTCTTTAGACGCTTCATTAGTTTTATTGTATACTTCTTTTGTTTTAATATTTATGAAATCATTAAACAGATATACATATATTTATAAAGATGTTCAAAAAGTCGACAAATATTAGAATAATCCTTTCAGATAATATTAAACCGTATATTAAGTATGAAATAGTTGACAAATTACTACAAAAAGTACGCTGAAAAGTAGTAACTTCGAATGTGATAAAATAGAAGTCACAATCTTTTATACAGAAACGCATGTTTTTATCGTAATTTAATTTGTTACACTCCTTCACGCTTTGATGTATATATAGCTTGTCCGCAAGATAAGGAAAACTTTAATATAAGAATTACTTAAAATAGAATTATTGCGCTCATTAAAAAAATTGTCGATCGCCGTTTTTATTTCGTACTTGGCGATTTGTAATAAAGAATCGTATATATCAACCTGACTATATTAACACGACTGTTATGTACTGGCATCTATTTGTAATATATCGTCATATAAGCTCTGCGGAAATAAAATTTATTTTATAATGTATTTCTGTATAAAATGATCGCGTGTTATATATGTTATAAATGGTCAAAATAATACATTAATTTTATTCGAAATTTTGTACATGTGAAATTACTACGTAAATCTCTATATAAGATACATTACGTAAATCTCTTTGATCATCTGCAATTGTTACCTTTAAGCAACTGTTTGCATGAAATTGCAAAAAATTGTATTAATTTGTAATATTCTTGGATCTATTTGTTGTTTATTTTGTTATTGTGTACGATTGTTAATGCTATTTGAGTCTAATAAAACTGCTTGAAATGTTACTGCTTAAAATAAAAGATATGTTAATTTATATAATTACTTGTTATCATTATTATTTATATCATTATTAATTATAAATTGCATGCAAAAGTGTTTCTAATTTTTAAATTTGATTTTTAATTATTATCTGGTAGCTAAAACTTTTCTACACACAAGGATGAAAAAAATATTATCAATATACCGATAATTTTTTCCATTTAATTAAAAATTCTCATATTTTTATACAATATAAGAAAAGACGAAAGATGTTCGCAAAAATCAAGTTTTTCAAATTTCTTCTTATCTAAGTTATATTTTTTATTTGTGTAATGTTTTTCTCCGTAATTGACTGCAAGCATACAGAAATACGGAACTGAATCGAAAAACGAGGGTTTGCGTTAAAAAGGGACATTCACCCTATAGTTGCTCGTCATAAAGAACCACTGATTCCTTTGTTCTCGGAACACCGCGCAATTAGGTTTCGTAGACGCCGATAACCGTGTGTGTGCAGTGGCAGAGAAATGCTGGAAGTATCGATTATTCAAGCTGTACTATCGTCGCCGTCGAGAAACGCAAGAAGAAGTATCGGGACGAAAAGAATGCCGCTCCCTCCTCAAACAGACACACAATAAATAGAAAAAATTCAATGCAGAAGAAAAAGGATGCTTTTTAAATGAGGGCTGCAGTCGTTAATTGGTTGAGTATGCCTCCCTGCAATAACCCTCTATTCTCTTTGGGATTGCAGCTACGAAGGGCTGCGTAGAAGTGGCTCGCGCCCCGGGAAGTTAAGCACTCAAACTCTCGTTTGTTCAAGCATTACCACGATAATTATCGTAGTTGTCTCGTTATCCCATGATTTATTAAAGAACATGAAATATGGAATTCTGTAAAAAATATTCTTTAACGCACTCTCTTTGCAATTCTTGTACTTGTTTACAAAAGTGGATCTTTACAATTTCGTTTGTAAAAATGGAACAGAACTGTATAAAAATATATATATATTGAAGAAAAAATGAAGAATTTGTGATTATTTCTATCAGCAAATTTCTCTTTTTATTTAAAAAATAAAAAGGTGTTAAATAATTGATTGAAAAGAAAGTATGCAGATAGAAAATTATTAAACTTTTTATAAAATATAATAATTCTCTGTGCATATTTATAATATAATTAGAAATATATGTATATTACATAGTGGCCTAACTTCAAAATTTGGATTCGGGAGTAAAGCCTTTTAAAGACCCTATCATTGAAGAGAGTAGTTATAATACATTTTCCTCATTAATTAGATTGTTTAAATATCACAAAATAAAAATCCAATCATGTACCAATACATAATATATATGTATTTCTTTTAAATATAAAATAATACAGAGAAAATAAATATATATATATATATCAAAAATGTAAATATATATAATTTTAATTTAGAGAAAGAAAAATTCTTCTGGTTAAAAAAATTGATAAAAACAGATAGATCGTGCACGACACGCAAACATCAAATTAGCTTACTACAATAACAGAGTATTATATCAGAAACAGAGCGAAATGTAAAGTGCAACTGCAATAAAAATTTGGAATTTTATTTTTAATTTAACTATCAAATAATTATATTTAAAATGATAACATTAATCGACAAAATAAGATCTTTTTTGCCTTAAGTTTTATTAAATTTTATTATTTCTGATAAAATTTTAGCATTGACTGTAAAATGACATATCACGTTAAGTTTTTGAGAAAACCTCTAAAAAAATTGCTAAAATAGGCGTTTTTAATATTTTTGCATTAGTCATATCTTTCGCTGTAGAGATCTACTAGAAACAATTTCTAAGTTAAGACAAATGGTATTGGATGGAACTAAAAATAAAATAAAATTTCAAGAGCTCCAACGATTCTTGGGGCCTGAGGCCGCAGCCTCCTTTGCCCCCCTGTAGTTACGCTACTGATATTATATCACATAGACATAAAGGTATGTTACATGATGTAATTTAATATAATATAATAAATTCAATAAACATACCATATATATTTATTATTAATAATAATATTAATGGAATTAATAAAGATTTACATGATTAATCAGGTTTTATCTTTGCAGATTATTAAGAAAAGATTAATTGTTTATTAAAGATAGAAGAAGAATATAATTAAATTGTCTAAGTTGATATTTAATCAACCTAATTAAAAAAAAATATATAATATAAATTATATGTATATATATATACGTATATATATATTAAATTAAATTAATTTAAATATCAAATTAGATAATTTATAATTTGACTCTTACTTCGCCCTTTTTAACGTTATTGATTATTGTTATATAAAGAGTCTTTGAATTTTTCAATTTATTTAATTTAATTATATTCTTCTTCTATCTTTATATATATGTATATATTCATAATATTGTAATATTTTTATTGCATAAATGTTAAACTTCAGAGGACACCCCTAATATATCATTACAAGGGAGAAAAGAAGATGTATTCATCTTATATATCTATGTTTAATGTACAAATTATTCTTTCTTCCCCTCTTCGAAACATATAACATCACATTGACCGTCCAGTATTATGAACACTACCCTCCGCTTCCTTAGTGCCGATATATTGCTGAAAGCCACCCCCGACTTTGGCGCCTTCGCAATCACTTCTTCGCTGTTCCTTGGGAATCCGAATTGCCCACCCTCGGCAAAATCCGCCTCGAGTTTTCGGCTTGAAAACACGCAACGGCGTAGTACGTTGTGTATAGATCGGACATTCATTCATAGGAGCCAACCTTCTGTCATAATGTTCATCCCCGAGGCGCACCCCGTCGAACGGGGGTGCAGGCGGGGGCGGCAGCGGCGACGGCGGCGGTGGCGGCGGCGGCGGCGGTAGCGATTCGACCCCATCCGACAGAGAAAGAGGGGTGGCCGGCGACCCCGGCTTTAGTCGCGATGTGCGCGTCGCCCCATCGCAGTTGCTCCCTGTTTCGCATTTCCGCGGGATCCCTCGCCGACGAAGAAAATCTCGCGTCGATCACACGTCTCATTCCGATTTTACGGAATAATTCGAAACGAGGGAGTAGCGATATCCGTGAACAATTCGACTAGACTGTTTTGCAAAGAAAAATAAATTGTTTAAATTCTAAACTCGATTTCAGTTTATCCAGTGGTACGCCTAGTCTTCACGGTGTCTTTAGCGTCGCGGTGTTGACAACGTTGATTCTAAGGAAACGATCGAGAACGTGAGAAAGAGCGTTTATTTCTTGTCGTAAAGTTAATTCGAAAAATGCACACGTTGCAGTTACGGATTTACTTCTAAAGATTTAATAAACAAGAAATTAAAAGTTATATATACCTCTAGTTCACTAAAGAAAAAGAAAAAAAAGGGCCGGGAAAGAAAAAGGCAGACGTAAGAATAGTGTCGGTTTCTTAGCGTCCCGACTCTCATAAACATTCTCCCTTGGCGGGAGGGTAATTTCGTGTCCGTCGGAGGGTCGACCCTCGGAGCAGCGCGGGGATGCGCGCGAGGGTGTTTGTGCGGCGTGGATAGGCGGGCGAGCCGGCAATTTCGCGTGTGGCTCTCGATATCGATTCTAGGAGGCCGGCCGCCACCATCGGAGTAATCGCGCACCCCCTTCGTCGTCCTTCGGTCGGCAAAACGACCGCTCGTTGACATCGTCGTCGTCGATACGCGGAGGGGGGATCGATGAAAGACAAGATCGATCGACTGTATCGGAAAACTGCCGTTCAAAGTCATCTATATACATATATTGTTCTGCCTGCGGAAAAGGTCTGCGATCTGTGATTAATCGCGCTGGGGAAGATGTGGACTGTATCGAGATAAAACTATTGCGTAAGCATTAATTTTTAAAC